GTGGGTTTTGCTATCCTATTACTACAGAAGGTACCTGACTTTAATACTGGTAGTAGTAATTCTCAGCTTTTGAAAATGCTGTCATATTGTCCTTGAAAAAGAGGGTATTAGATGGTTAAAATTAAGGACAGTTTCTGATCTCTAGAAAGCATAAATGCTGGTAATTAAGTGAGCAGCTAGGAGAGAAACTAATCACACGGACATTTTGAAACCAGTCCACTTCCTACATCCATGAGCTCACTGTCTTTGATAGCAATAAGCACTCCTCTGTACAGATACAACCTATAGACTTCCGCCAGTGCATTGCTACCTGGCAGTGGGGAAAGAAGTTGTTGCATTTATTCCTTCCTATGTTGGGTGGTAAACAGAAAAATCTATTCATCTTTGGACTTGGTTTGTGTACCTACCTCTGCTGAGTACCTATCTCTGAGAAAGTGCCTGTAATCAATGATCATTAAGTTGTTTGGTGGCTCTCTTCAAGTTCTGTTGGCTCGATCGCATTTAAAAAAAATTTATTGGCTTAATGTTTTTCCAGACTCTTAACATGGTAGATTTGTTGAATAAAGGCTTTTTGAAATCAAAAAAGCAGTTCTGTAACCTTAATAACAGAACTTCTGTTATTAAGAAGTTATAATAACAGTCTTAATAACAGAAGTTATTACTTCCCTGAAGAAGAACATTAATAGATAGAGTGTGATTTGCAGTAGAACTGCTAGTTGAGCCAAGAAGGAAAAAGGAGGCTTCCTCTGTGTTGCAGTAAGTAGCTGGACCTACCCAAATGAAAGATGTTGGAGATAACTTGTAGGAAGGGAGGCCATGGCAGAAAAATCACACAATGCACTGAGGTAGAAATAGTCAGAAGGAGGACATGGTGAAATATAAGATAAATTAGGAGAAAATTTTTATACATCTTCTGTGTTAAGTTTATATGGCAAGGTTTTGGTAGCAGGGGGCTCCAGGGGTGACCTCTGTGAGAAGAATCCAGCAGCTGCCCTATGTCAGATAAGCGCTGGTTTCAGCTGGCTCCAAAAGGAACCCACCTCTGGCCAGAGTCAAGCCAATAAGCAATGTTGTTTGCATCTCTGTAGGAGCATATTTAAGAAAGGGAAAAAAAGAAAAACGGCTGCATAACAGCAGCTGAGAGAGTCAGGAGTCCAAAACAGCCCTGCAGACCCACAGGTCAGTGGAGCAGGAGGGCAGGAGGTGCTGCAGGCAGGCAGCAGCAGTTCCCCTGCGGGCTGTGCAGGGAGAGGCCCCTGGTGGAGCAGGCTGTCCCCCTGCAGCCCATGGGTCCCACATGGAGCGGATCTGCACACTGCAGCCCCCCCATGGGTGGAGGAGCCCCCGCTGGAGCAGGTGGATGTGCCCTGGAAGAAGCTGTGGCCCATGGAGAGCCCCCGCAGCAGCAGGCCCCTGGCTGGAGCTGCAGCCCGTGGAGAGGAGCCCGTGCAGGAGCAGTTTGCTCCTGATGGATGGACCATAAAGTTGCTCAGATTTTTCCTGCCATATGAATCACTATTTTTCATGTAATATTATTCCATTTTATTGTGTGGAGAACATTTAAAAAAAAAAAAAAGCAAAAAAATACAAATCCAACACCTTTTTTAAGGGCTGAATGGATATTCCTCATATAAAGTGGGCCTTCTTAGATCTTAGGAAAGATCTAAAAACTGGAAAATCCTATTCTACATCAGTGGGTACTGAGGGAAGCCTACATAGTATCATTGGCAATCAATAGCATTTTATGGTTGCTCACAGTAATAAACATAATACGTATACACATATATATATGTATACATATAAAACATATGTAACATATGTTATACGGCACAGTATAGTCTAACATATAGGAAAAAAAAAGACACCTTCTGAGTTGTTGTCTGTATGTATTTCATATTGTCTGTAATGAATTTGCAGTTTCTTTTTATGAATAGTTTGTAAATGTTCTATTTTTGAGAATGCCGAAAGAAAGGTTTACTTGGATATTTTAAAAAATGGAATTAGGAGCATGCAGTGGGTATTCATTAATGATTCAGGATGGTTGGTTTCAGTTTTCCCTCCTTCCTTTCACAAGGCAAAATGTGATCAATACTTTCCTTTCAAGGTCATAACTGCTTCTTGGTCTCTGTCCTTCTTATAACCCTTCCCCAGCCATATGAGTGTTCTGGAGGATTTAATTACTAGTTTAATCGAGGTTGTCATCAATAACTCTTAGCATTGTCAAGCTCAGACATAAAGCTGTATTATTACAGGAGAGGGCTCAGCTCTGATGAAAGTACAGGGGAGCTGTGCTGATGAATGGGTTTGGGTCACACCATTTGGTAGTCATGAATGATGCTTTTCCCCTCTCTTCTTGTCCATTGTAATCCCATGGTTGTGTTATGGACAGGAAAGTATGTTCGTCTGTGAAACAATGCTATAACATATTTCAGGTATTTGATTCTGCAAAATTGAGCTGAGTTTGAGAAAATGTTTCTCCTTATGTGAGAGGAAGGGTGCTTCCATGACAGGGATGATATCCTTCCTAATGTATTTAGGCAATTTGTTTTCCAGAACAACATGTGAAAAGTATATTTAAAAATATATTATTAGTTCATTTTTTTTCCCTTCTTTAGAAATTGGTTCAGTGTCAACTAAATAGACCTACTGAGCAACTAACCTCACATCCTAAAGTGATGTAAATCCTAAGGGGAGTCCCAGATTCCCTATTTTAATTGCAAGAAAGGCCACAATGTTCCTCTAATTGGGGGTGGAAAGCTTTCTCCCTGTAACATACCTTGCCTGTTTTAAAAAATATAAACAGTCACCCACAAATACAGCAGAATATCTTAATTGTACTTTTGTTTGGAATCTCATTAGAGTATTCTCTCAGACAAGCAGTTGCTTTCTGGATAGGCTGCTAAAATACGGATTTGATACTTTGTCAAGAGGCAAGTAGGGCTGCCTATCCTTATATACTTCAGTTTGTATGTAGACATGATATTGCTAAATATTATCTGCTTTTTAAAAAATAAATTCTGAGGTGTGAAAGTGATATTTAAGATCTGTTGACTAGATCAGAATGAGCTGATCAAAATGAGCTGGATGTATTTGTAGTAGTACAGTGTACTACTACAGTGCTATTACAGTATTATTATAGTGTACTACTACAGTACTATTACAAATACATCCACCTCATTCTGGTAACTTCACAGATGTTAAATGTGAAGATCCCACAACCTGCATCAGTAGCACATGTGTCAATACTGCTGGTAGTTACATCTGTGAGTGCACTCCAGATTTTGAGCTGAATCCTACCCATATTGGCTGTGTTGATACATGATCTGGCAACTGTTACCTGGACATTAAAACTCGTGGAGATAATGGTGGCACTTTCTGCAGCAATGAGAATGGAGTGGGTGTTTCAAAGGCCTTCTGTTGCTGCTCTCTGGACCAAAAAAGTTGATCCAGTATAATTTTTATGTTGGCTGAAAAATAGCAGATAAAATGTAAGGCATCATCTCTTCCATCTTCAGCTTTTTAAGAAAATCTAGACAGGGTAAAGGTCTGCAGTCAAGAAACAGCTCTTGAGGTATCATAATAATTTCAGGAGTGAGCTCCTAGAGGTCAGCTGTACTGTAGAACATTATGAACACAATTAATCATACTTGTTGAACACGTTTCCAAATTTGTGTGTGTTGTAATCCCTAATCAGTCAAAGAATGTACACAGTTCATTTTACTCATTCTACTGACATTGTATTTAATGTCACTCAAATCAGTTTTATACATACCCTATTGACTTTATGCTGTTCATAATATGTTGGTAATAGAAAATCTATTTCTATTGCATTTTTGTGTGGGACTAGTAACTTAAAGTTAATATAATTTCCAAGGGGAAAGCTGTTGAGTGACTCATGTAGAGTATGTTGGAAGGTATTTGTGTATACATATATATATAATTGTTCAGCTACACAAATTTTCAAGCAATATAATTTAAATGGATTATTAAAGTTGAGCCCTGCCATTTGGCTGGTGATTGCTTTTATTTATTTATTTTTTATTTTCTTTTTATATGTCTGTCACTGTATTGAATTCATGACATATGTCCAGGTCTACTGGCTGCAGACCTGTTGTCTTTGCGTACGAAATACATGTTTTCACGTTGCAAAGAATACTTAGCACAGGTAACTGAAAAATTGGGACAGAAAGGCTTAAATTTTGAGTTACCAATGACTAGAACAGATGGAGAACACCTGTTATAGTAATTACAGGAACAGAAAGAGAAATCCAGGTCCTCTGGCACTACAGACCTCAGAGAAACTTTAGGCAATGCAAGTTGGTTAGACATTAATTTCAGTGCTAGGAGTAAGGAGTAGGGCCAGGTGCTAAACAAGTTGCTTTGATGATAGATCTTTTGAGAATTCTTTAATGCAGTGAATTACTGACTTGGCTATTAATGAATCAGCTTAGGTCTGTATATGATCCCCAGCAAAAGCCCCAGTGGAAAAATGTAAAACGTAAAGTGTAAGCAAAACTGTGCTCTATGCAATATGACTAAGGATTGACCCTTGACTTCAGTAGGAGTTATCTGAATGTTATGTTCATTTTTGCAAGCCAAAGATTGCAATATGCAATTGCAAACTAAGAAGAATATGGCTGGTGATTGAGGAATATGTCCTCACTACCGATCATAATGCATGATACTATAGTTCTTTTATACATATTTTTAAGCTATACAGTTTTCTAAAGCTCTAAAAGACATGCACAAGCTGTGTCAAGTAGAATCCAGTCCAAAAAAATACCAGTTAACAGTGACAGTCCTCTTCATTGTATGGATTGTTAATGGTGAAAAATGTGAATGGGAAACAACTAGAAGTATCATGCAGTGTATATTTTCCTGCAGAGTAGGATGGAAAATAATGCAATTGGTGAAGAAATGTGAATATAAAATATAGTAGAAATGGCAATTGCAAACCAAGCCCTTGACAATTGCATTAATGGTAATGCATTCCATTCCAGTTCATGGTGAAGTAAAAGGAGTTGGTCTGGTAGATCAAATATGGCTTTCGTTGCAAGACTGCGACAATGAAGGTGAGACGATAAAGCTATTTAGACTCCTAATCTATAAACAGCAAAGACTATGTTGTTTCTACATACACCTGGTGAATTTACAGAATTATTTCTTCATAGAACAAATGTGGTTGTAAAATACTACAGTTGTTTTGAGTTTAATTTTCAGGATATATATGTCCTGTATATATATGTATATAATCTATACATTTTTGATGTAAAAAATAAACATGAAGTCAAAATTGTGAAGATTTATTGATGAATCCTCAGTTCTGAATTCCATCTGAATTTGGGAAATTCTTTTTGTTTAAATTTCAGGATTCTGAATAGGCATTGAGAAAGATTTTATTCTATTGAAATATATGATAAATTGGGATGGATTAAATAATAGGATGAGAATGCAACTTACTATATTTTTTCATTACCATTATTTTTCATTTTCATTTCTTTTGTTCATTAGAAATACATTTTGAAGTAGAGCTTGGTAAGAATCCATTTGGTATAAGCAAACCCAGCTCTATATCTGGGGAAAAGGCCTAAATACCATGTTTAGACTAGTGTTTTTAGATGAGTGTTTTTTTTTTGTTTTGTTTTGTTGTTTTTTTTTTTTTTTTAAATTTGCTAATGTTTTCAATCATCATCTTCTCATCTTCTTTTCCAGTCCAGACAAGAATAAAATCACAAGAGCTCTCAAATACCTGTTAATACGTTTTTCAGAGAGAATGTCAAAAATTGTTTTCTGTTCCATCAGTATTGATTCATGGCACCAAGCATAAATAATTAGAACAGGCCAAATACCAAGCTTTTGTGTCTTCCATTAACAAAATTGGTACGATTATTTTGAAAGTTAATTAACTAGTTGCAATACAAACGCATTTCATGTAACTGACTCTCCCCTTCCATTCCATTGTACTTCAGGTAATCAGAAATAATTCAATTCTGTATTATCTGTTACGTAGTCTCCCTGGAAAGTAGGTATAGTATGTAGTTTGTGTGTACTGTATAATTTCATCACTACTGTGGCAAAGTGCAGCAACTTTTGAGACTATGAATATGCCATCAAAGCAAATAGGACTAGGGTATTCTTTGGCCCCGAGGAAAAGGTGTACATAATGCCCATATATTTAAAAGTCTTTTCTCCATACTCCCTCAGAAATCTGGCCTCATCCATACTCTGTATTGTCAATAATTCCTAATCCATGCTTTGAATCATAGTGGGACATTGACTAGGAGAGTTCTATTTATCTTAGGCTGAAAAGGTGCTGTAATTAAGCGTAGATGAAAAAATTGTGGCTAGAAAAGAAGATACACACTAAAAGAAGGTTTTGGGCCTTTTTTTATTTTTCTTATTTACAAACATAGATATGTCCTGAGCAAGTTTTTGGCCTGTAGCTGCTGTTTGGATCTTTTTTTGCGTTGGCTCCCCATCTGAATTCACATGATTACTCTGTTCTAGTGGATTCATTTGTGTTCTAATTTGTACCAGCCTTTCCCTGCAAAATATATGATAGAAATACCTCTTGGAGTGGGTTTCTTTGGTTGGATAGCAGGACACAAGGCTGGTCCACATGTGCGGAAAGACTGATTTTGTTGCTGTTTCTACAGCTTGGGAAGTTAGGATTGTGATGCATCAGTGTTAGCAGATAGATAGTATCCAAAAAGGATATATAGCACATCTAGCATGCTGTGTAGTGGACTAGGCTGAGAAACCCAACAACTTCAGTTGCAGGAACAGAATATCAAAAAAGAACACAGTCTTACACACAGTGTAAGTGAGTACACTTACTTGCTAATAGACTCTGCTGGCAGTTAAGGCAATAAGCAACTAAACAGTACCGTTATAGACTCATGTCTAATTTATTTCATGTTAACTAAGTTTATAATTACACTGTATCAGTTAGTAAAACTGTTTACTTACTCCCATACAAAAGTGGCTAAGTCTTCAGATGGGGCTTTTTTGCTTTACTTTAGGTGCAATTAGCCTGTTAAATACAGTAAGTATTTAATTCTGTCAGAAAGGTGCCAGAGGTAGTATTTATAAATACAAAGAGTAGGAGCTTCCCTTTTTCCCCAAGACAATTTTGCAGTACCATTCTCCCCTTTGTTCTTTGCTGCATCCTGTGAAGAGTGCTTCTTTGAATGGAGACCCATTTTGTGCACATGTAAAGCTGAGAACAGAACAAAGCAAACCAAGGACAAACAGGAGTAAGAACAAATTATTTTCACTTTGGTTCCAAACAACTGTTCTTCAGGAGACTCAGACAGCTTTATGTAGTACTGAGCTGTGCAGTGTTTTTCATTTAAAATACTCTCCATCTTCAGTGTCTGTGATGAACCACCAGAACATTCACAGGCAAGCAGTGTCCTCAAGTGTGATTCCAATTTAATGCAGTACCTGTGGAGACAGGAAAATCCCTGTAGCATTATAAGTGATGCAAGATCTCAATGTACATGTATATGCTTAAGAAATGTGTGCCAGACTTTGGGATGGCTTTTCTGGGCTATAAATACGGACTGTGAGGTTCACAAGGAACTGTCCTGTGTGTCATCCTTATCTGCCCTCAAAGCTCCTGTGATGCTTGGAGGAGGACAAATGTGCGTAAGGTTCAGTGGAAGACTACTGTCAGTTTGTCTCTTCCCTGCCCTGTAGCAAAAGGATTTGTGGTAAGAGTTAAGGATATTTGTTTTTTCCTTGTGGGAACTGTGTCTTCATTTTTTTACCAGGAGAGAATTTGTGGGGTGAAATACTTGAACCACAGTTGTATCAAAGTGTGGCAGTGATTTCTTGCCCTGAGGCCTTCAGGTCTGCAAAAGATGAAGGAAGAAAAGATGCACAGAAATGATGTAGAAGTGTTCATGAAGCAAAACAATGACTAGGCTAGCTAGAATTTGTCTCTTGGCTGTTTGCTCTCAGTCCATTATCCTAATCATTGACCGTGCTACGTCTCAATAGCATTTGCACAGATCGGATTTTATAAGGAAGATCATTAACTGCCACATGGAAGTTGTTGAATGATAATAAATGTAAGGAGAGATAGCTGAGATTAATGGAGTAAAAGAAAGAGAGCTGTTTTACTAGATGCAGCCAGTGATTAGTACATACGTCTTGTAAGAAGCATTCAGACTTCACAGTCTCAAGCTAAAATGTCATAGAAAGGAAACTGGAGAATTGTTCAATAACAACTATGAGGCCTATAATGATCAAAGAAGTTGAAATTATTGTAAGGCAACAGTAAGCAAAATAATCCCATTATAAATGAATATACATGTACATGATATAGTTCCATAACGCTTACTGTACTAGAATAAGCAACATTTTTCCCTTATTCTAACCTGCCTTGCCAGTTTAAGTCAAAAGGCCATGTAGCGAAAATGTGGAATATCTATTTATCCTTGGAATTATGCAAACTTAAGTGATGATAGAGTTGACTTAAATATTCAGGTACAGTCAGACAGAATGGTTTTGAAGTTGACTGATTCTGTTTTTCAAAGGGGTAAAACATCATTATGCTATGTCCTTCATGTTCTCTGATCTTTCTTTTTTGTGGCTGTACACTGGCACTTGTCAAAAGTGCATCTGTGTAGTAGCATTTCTGTATTTTATATGCATACCAATGAGTATATTAAACAGAAATGCAGGGGATGTCATAACATAAACAGCCTTTTTTCTTAACTGCTTTGACTTTTCAAGTACTTGCAGAAAGCTTGGAGAAAATGTTCCTTGATGTATTGATTGATCTCTCAGGCATACAGTGTTTCATGCAAATGAAGTGTAAAATAACCTGCAGACATCTATGTTTTAAAATGTGTGCAGATAGTAATTGTTACGCCCTTTCCTGAGAAGTGGGTTTCTATTAATGTGCATTTTCTAAGGTTCTATGGGGAGCTGCTGTTTCTGCAGAGCTTTTGAGTCTGAATGGTTGCTTATTCATATTCTTTCTTTTCACTTTAAGCTGCACCTGAATTAAAAGCTGAGCAAAATAAATGCACTGACTAGCTCTGAGCACTGGTGTTTTGAGCCTCAGGTTTTAATGTCCTTGACTGTCACTAATCAATAGCAAGCAAAGCAACCACAGCATCAGAAGTAGAGATGTAAAAGGAGATGCCTGTTAGATACTGTGCTGGAAGACATGAGGGTAATGATTCTCTTTGAGAAAGATGCAATATTTTCTTCTTAAGAGTGCTGACTACAAAGGTTTCATTTTCAACTGGCTGCTTGGAAAATAAGCACACCTTCCAATGTATCATACAAGGAAATAAAATAAAAATTCCAAATCAGACAAAGGGAAAAACAGATTAAAATATTAACTGATATTAACCGATTAAAATATTGGCAATGTAGGAGAATCTTAGCCCCAAATATCTTTGGCCTCTAAAATTTGGAGTAGACAGGTCAAGTTTTACTATCTCTTGGTCCTAACTCGTTTCACACAGAACAGCTTTATAGGGTCCTTTAGTAAAGTACATATAATACTGTTTGACCCCCTTACTCATTTTATGAACTTGCAGATCAATGAAACAAACTATTAAGTAGATTGAATGATGCCTAAAACACTAATATTAATGGCTTCAATTTTATTAAGCCCATTTAAAAATCTTATACAGGTAGCAGCATCCATGAAATGACAAACTATGTATCCTTACCTACACAGCATAAATTTAAACATTAGAGAAAAGCTAGTGATAGTGGAAAAGAAATCTTTTCCTAACACTGTAGTAATCTGAAGAACTACAAAGGAGAGCAAACACTCTTTTAAGTTTTGGTTTAATATAAATAATCCTGAAGTTAATATGATATGTTGATATATTGGTGAGGCCTCACCTCAAGTACTGTGTTCAGTTTTGGGCTCCTCACTACAAGAAGGACATCAAGGTGCTTGAGCAAGTCCAGAGAAGGGCGACGAAGCTGGTGAGGGGTCTGGAGAACAAGTCTTATGAGGCTGAGGGAGCTGGGATTGTTTAGCCTGGAGAAGAGGAGGCTCAGGGGCAATATTATTGCTCTGTATAGGTACCTTTAAGGA